TATAGCCACTGCTATTGTAGTTAGCAGTTAGTCGTACCCTTGCCTGCTGAACTGCTGCCTTTGTTTCTGTAACCTGTCACACAGACGCCCTCGGGTTTGCAGATACACGCTCGCTGGCCCAGGCCAACAGACATGCTGTCACCACCCGGCGCAAATGCCACTGTAACACTTACGTTTCAGATCGAGCCAGGGTGTAGTAGTTCACCCGTGTATGGCACGTACAGGGAAGTACAAGCCTTGCAGCGTGTCTACGATTTGTATACAGGTGTGTGTGTATGTGTGTGGGAGTGTATTATATATATATATATGTATATATATATATATATATGTGTGCGTGGGTGTGGGGTATTGACATATTGTGTCTTACAATATATCGGCCTGATTATATTGCATGGCGTATAAGCATTGTGTGTATAGTGTATCTATTTGCTTCTATATATCTCAGGATTAGACGTGCAATCATAGTTTCTGACCCATGCTTTCACCCGATGAGCTGATGCCGCAAAACTTTACGCAAACTGTAGCTCATAATCATATGCCTTATATCCCATACATGTTCAATTATTTAATACAATAATGTAAACCTTAACAATTGGTGTGTAAGTCTCTCCCCTCTGACCCGTCCACTCTCTCCTCTTGGTGGATCCATGTAGCAAAGGAATGCGAAGCCACGGCCCAATGTGGACACACACAACACAAAGGTGACGACTACAGTTCAGAATCGGTGCAGCTAACACTCGCGGCGTTCTTCGGTGCGATGGAGGAAGCTGAGCAACCACGTGCGTCTCGGAATTCACACGACACCGATTACGGGATGACAGCGGAGTGCGGTACCAGTCTATTTAAAGCACAGCCCGCCAATGTGCGTAGAGATCACCACTTGGACTTTCTGGACTATTTGTGGACGCTGGTGTGCGCCAATGGATGGGAAAATAACTCGGCGGTACTTTCTCAGGTGTGGTTTAAGTGCAGTGAGTGTATTCGAATGTGTTTGGGATGCCGATACCGTTGTATGCCTCTTGGCCACCCCTTGGGCCCGTGCTAGGTCATTAGAGGGTTTAATCGACATGGTTGGAGAGTGACGCTTGCACGTGCATAACTGTATAGCGTGTGTATATTTGTGTGGGCTTGTCAAACAGTTCCGATATCAATGAAAGTTGTTTGCAATGTGTTTGTTTTCAATGAATTTTTAATGTAACAGCATGTCGAGCTCGTTGCAGCTGCCATCATCAGGCCATACCACAGCCAAAGCCAACTCACAGCATGACAATTTGTAAAAGACAAGATAGCGATAAATGGTTGTGGTTTCTATCTAAGGACGAGGACCTTTCAACAATCTGCATATA